CTTTAAACTGCTTTTTATTTTTTTTTTATTGCTTCGCCTTGTCTAATTTTGTTGCTGAAAATAACAACCATTCTTAAGAAACAAAAATAAAAACAGTACACAATTTATTTTTTTCTTTTAATTTTTTCCTATTTAAGTTTCTTTTTATTTCTTATTTTGTTAATTTTTTTTTTGAAACTTTGATTTTTCCGCAATTAACAATAATTATAAAACTTGCAAACAGCCGTGGCCAAGTTGTCTAAAATAAAATACTCGCGTGTGGTCATGCAAGACAAAAAACCACATGAGTTTCTTTGGAAGGCTTGCTTTTTTATGCAATAAAATCTAAAATCTGAATTTTTTATTAAACATGAATTTTTTCATCTGCGTAGTCTATTTCCAAATAAAAGTGGAGAAAATTGTTTCATCCAAAAAGATTTTACTTTCCTGAACATGAAAGAGCATTTATCTTAAATCATGTTGGAAAAAAAAAAAATTTAACATACCCTAATATAAATATATCTATATATATATATATATATATATATATATATATATATATATATATATATATATATATATATATATATATATATATATATATATATATATATATATATATATATATATATATATATATACAGGGCTCAATTTAATTATTTAAAAAGTCCCGGACAAAATGTCCAATCAAAACTTGTTTAGGTCAGACAGTGTCCAATCAAATTTTAATAATTTAATTTTTTTGGATTTACGGAACAGTGCTATGCTATCGTTAATCTAGTGAAGTTGTAGTTTCTTTCCTTATTATTTAATTGCAGGTTTTTATTTTTTAATAAAATAGTTTCAAATTAATATTGCATGTTTTTTAGATAGGCTTTCACGCTGTAACTGACAACGCTTTTTTTTTTAAATTCTACAATTTGACGACGGCTGTTTTGATGTTTTAACAATTGAAATGTAATTTTAAAAATTGCTACATTAAGAATAACTTTTAACCAGTGATCTTTTTTTTTTTTTGGGTCAAGTTTTTATCTTATGCGAAGGCTTTAAATAAAATCAAAAATTAATTATAATGATCGCTTAAAATAAACGCATTATGTGTAATCTAAATGTTATACTTAATTTTTTTTTTGGTAGGTATGTATTTTTTATGATAAATTTAAACGTTTAAAACTATTTTTCCATGTCTTTCTTGAAATCTTTTAAAATATTAACTTTTTAAGTTACTTTGAATTATGAATAAATTAAAAGTTTCCCATGATTTAAATGCTTTATTTTTTTTTTTTTTTTTTTTTATTTTTACAATGAAATGTTTAGAAGTTTTTTAACTTGACTTACTAAATAAAGCATGAAATGAATAGAAATTACAATTTTAAAAAGACTACAATACTTTTTTTCAACAATTTTCTTTTGCAACTTTTTGAAAAAAATATTTTATTCAACTTAAAAATATTATACTTTTTTCTTTTCAATAATTTAATTTCACTTTTCAATAATTTAAATAAAATTTAATCATTTATACATCAATCAATAAAAGTAATTTGTAAAAGCATTTTGCGTAACTTTAATTAAATGTTTTAAAAGATAAGTTTAAAGTTATTCAAATGCAATTAAAAACGTAATTTCAAACGCAATTAAAAACGTAACAAAAAGTAAATTTATCTACAAGTTTTTAGAGTTTTATTTTAAAGTTAATTTGTTTTCTTTTTTATAAGAAACTGTTTTGCTTATTCTTTAGTTTTTTCAATTTTTTTCCTAGTTTAAGTTTAGCTTAATATTTCTTTTATCAGCGCATTTCTGAAACATTTAAATCATCAAAATATCTAAACAGTAGAGGTCAACAGTTGTAAACGAAAAATCATTTGCGAGCATTTGATCACACACCATTTCTGTCCAAGATTTATTTTGTAGAATTTAATTCCTGCCAGTCATATTGTCCAATTACTTTGTAAACTGATCAGACAATCTGAGGTTTTAGCTGGACAATGTTCGATGTCTGACCGTTAAATTGAGCCCTGATATATATATATATATATATATATATATATATATATATATATATATATATATATATATACACACAAATATATATATATATATATGTATATATATAAATATATATATATATATATATTTATATATGTATATATTTATATATATATATATACATATATTCATATATATATATATATATATATATATATATATATATATATATATATATATATATATATATATATATATATATATATATATATATATATATATATATGTATATATATATATATATATATATATATATATATATATATATATATATATATATATATATATATGTAGAATTTAATTCCTGCCAGTCATATTGCCCAATTACTTTGTAAACTGATCAGACAATCTGAGGTTTTAGCTGGACAATGTTCGATGTCTGACCGTTAAATTGAGCCCTGATATATATATATATATATATATATATATATATATATATATATATATATATATATATATATATATATATATATATATATATATATATATATATATAGATATATATATATATATATATATACACAAATATATATATATATATATGTATATATATAAATATATATATATATTTATATATGTATATATTTATATATATATATATACATATATTCATATATATATATATATATATATATATATATATATATATATATATATATATATATATATATATATATATATATATGTATATATATATATATATATATATATATATATATATATATATATATATATATATATATATATATATATATATATATATATATATATATATATATATATATATACTATTCACTGATGATACTACCATTTATTCTTGTCTTGATAAGAAGCCAACACCCTCTGATTGCTTGGAGAGGGTATTTGAGCTTGAAAATGAACTCACTTCTGCTACAGGATGGGGCTCACACTAGATGAACTTTAGTTCAGATAAAATTCAATTTTTTTTCAGCAAATCATTATTACAATAGTCTAGATCTTCCTATATTTATGAACAATAATAAACTTGATGAGTCATCTACCCTTCATCTTCTAGGATTAAATCTTATTTCTAATCTTTTTTGGAAACCATGCATCAAATTTATAGCAAAATTAGCATCTGCTAAGGTTGCATCTTTTTATCATGTTCATCTCTGTCTTACTCAGGTTTCTATTCTTTATCTCTGTTAATCTCAAATCCACCCTTGTATTTATACTGTTGCCATACCTGGTGTGGATCTTTAAATGATACCCTTTCTTTTTTAAACAAGGTGCAAAAATGCATTGTAAACATAGTTAAACCTGCTCTTGCAACCAACCTTCACCAATGTCACATTGTCATAATGTTGCTTCTCTTTCTCTTTTCTATAAATACTATAACATGTGCTGCTCTAAAGAGCATCTCTTATGCCATCTACTAAAATTCATTCTCATTTTACTCGTCATAAAATTAAGTCTCATCCTTTTACTGTGACTGTTCCTAAGAGCTCCAAAAACTCTTATTCATCTATTTTTTTTCCTCAAACATCAGTTCTTTGGAATTCACTCCCTTCATCTTATTTTTCTGATTCATATAATTTACAATTTTTTAAGTTGCCTGTTAATTGTTATCTTGCTTTATGAACTTCATCTTTTCTCTTCCAGTAATTTCCAATTCTAAGCAACTTTGTTGAAAGTGACGATGTTTAAAAAAATAAAAATAAAATTTTAATGCAAATGCAGTCTTTACTTTCTTTTAGCATTAAAAAGTAGGTTTTCAACTTTTAACAGTTTATTGAAGATTTATTATTATTTTGGCATTTAAATTTTGAAATAATTTTTTCCTATCAAATATCCAAATTTATATTTATTGCGTTCTAATGTTTATTAAAAAGAAGTCATTAAGATAAGTAAAGAGTAATTAAGAGTAAGAGTTGTAGGGATTAACCTAACAAATAAAGAATTATAAATAATTTTTATAAATAATTCACCACCATTATAAAATGTTCTCAGGTTATAGTCTTCTCCACATATGAAAACAATTTAGTTAAAAATCCAAAACATTTTTTATAGGCCACCAAGTAATAGAACACCTTTTTATTAGCAAAAATCTTGGTTTTTCACTCATTTCTGTAGATCCTGCAGAGCTTTTTCTTCTTTTATTTTTATAACAAATTTTTTTTTCTATAATTATCATTCAAGCCAATATATATCACTTAGAAAAGAATTTTTAAAATTTATAGAATAAGTGGTTTAGCCTAAAACTAAGAATGATCCTAAAAATTATCAAATATATTTTTTTTTGGCTAAACATCTAAATAAAACACATTTTTATTATTTATGTTCAACTTTTAAATAAAACTGTAAGATAAATTTCAAAATCCAATAATTTTTTTTTTTTTTGTTAGTGTACCTCCTCAATGCCAAGAAGGCCACTACAGACAAAGAGGCCACTTAATTGTGGTTATAACCCTCTCTTAACTCTATAACTCAGAAACACGAACCTTGACGAATAAGGCTGCTGTGCCGAGAAACAAATTGAGTGCGATATTCTCAGGGACATGATGGGGATCGAACTTGGAACCTCTTGCTTATGAAGTAAGCATTCTACCACTACACCACTACCGCATTTAATTTTTTACTTTCTTCAAAAAATTTTATCAGAGATTTTTTTACTTTTTATCACATCAGAATTAGTTTGAATATATTTGAATTTTTTAAAACTATTCCTATGATTAGTTTAAAATAAACAACAAGGATTTTAAGCAAAGTTAGGTATGAGTGTCTTTGAACAAAAAATAGTTGCGCCAAAACTCGCATTACATAATTGTCATTACATAGTGTAATAGAAAGTAATGGTTTCTATAACTACTTATACAGTATATTTTATACACTTTATAAGTAATTATGGTAAAATCACTCAATGGAAAATTAGATGGATTTTACAGAGTTTTATGCCTAATGCCCTCTGCATTTGTTGCAAAAATCATGAAAAATAGTTCAACATAAATAAATACCTTTAAGTACTTAACCAACTTTTGTATTTGCCAATACTCATGAGGTAAATCTGTATTTGACTCCTATAAGAATAATGTAAAATTTATGTCAAGTTTAGTTCGTTTTTTAATAATTATGAAAAGTACCTGATAAAACTAAAATAAAGTTTTATCAGGTGTTTTTCTAATATCGAAATCTTTTATGTTTAACAACTTAGCATTGTAAATGATATAAAAATTAAAAAAAAATTGAAAGGTACATTGTTTTAAATTTTATTAATGTAAATATTGTAATATTAAGTTAATGAAAAATTTACATGTCGGCGATCATAATTTTCTTCATCATCTTCAGATTCACTTGAACTCTTAAGCAATTCCTCTTCTTTAAACTGTGAACTAGGTTGACATGAAAAACTAATAAATATAAAATGTCTTAATAAGGTATTCAAAGTAAAATAATTAAACCAATATTTAGTTTATTCAATAACAATATACTTAGTAAAAATAATTAAAAAATGAATTTAAGATTAAAATTAAATTATTCAATATATCTGGTATAGCATGAGTAAAGTGAACAGGTTCAAGATAAAATAAAATAAACAAATAAAATTGAATGAAATGTGGACATGTAAATATGAAATAAAATACAAAGTATTGAATGAATATATTTTAAAGTAAAAGTTTAAGCTGTTTTTTTTTTTTGTTTTTTTTTGTTATTTTTGATTTTGATTAATATTGAAATATTTATAACAAAGTTATAGTAATCTTCTTTTTATTTATGTATATATTAGGATATAGATAAAAATATTTATTAGGATCATAGAAAAAATTTATAAGGTAATTATTGCTGTAAATCATTCATTTTAAATAAATTCAGGTCAAAATATGCAAGGAACTAATCTTGTTGTATAGAATGACCATGATGTAGTTACAACAATTATCCAAGTTACCACTGATATCAAACTAACCCTGTTTGATAATAATTAAATAAATAAAAAGAATAGTACATATTAAAAGGAACTTTATTTTTAATTTCATAATTGCTGAAGTTTGTTTTTATAAATAACGTATAAATAGTTTTTGAAAACAAACTCTATTATACAAACATTGCTAAAAAAATGACAATAACTCATCTCGCATCAATAAAACTCAAGTTAAACATTTTAAATGAAATATTTAAATTGTGTATAGTTATATATAATACAGTAAATTTCTCTTTTTAGATAAAATACCTTTTTTCTGAGAACTTATTTTTTCCTTCACTTTCTTTCCTTTGCACCATATCTTAATAAGGAAAACAAATATGGTGAAATTAACTGATCTTTTTAAATATCAATTTTTGTTTTGGAACTGCATTATACTATTTAATCTTAGCAAGTTAGATTAGAAAAACCTCTTTGCTTTCTAAATTTTTTTGAGCTATATTTCTAGCTTGAATAATTTACTTGAAAAAAAAAGAGGGGAAACAATTAAAATGAAGGAAATATTTTTAAAAACTACTAATTTTTACACAACGGATACGGGACGTCTCAACAAGTTCAACTGAGCGCGTTGTCTTAGAAACAATGAAAACTTGGGCTAAAGCTCTTGACTAAAACACTTCATAATTATAAGAATATACAAGTTAGCATTTCATACTAACGATTTATAGCCGTCTAAATTTAAGTATTATAAAGTATATTTAAGGTGGTACTTCCCTATTAAAAACATCAAAAAACAAAAACAAAAATTTTTTTCAAATTTTAACAGTTTGAACATCCTGAATCACGATTATAATTTTTTTTCCTATAAAAAAATGTTATAAAGTACTTAAATTAGTATTTAAAGGCAATAAGGTAATTTTCAAATCCCTAGCAACGGCCTTAGCAACCATGTCTGTTTATATGTTTGCCCAATTTTCATAATTTTTTCATTGGTATTATAAAAAGGTCATTTTGACACAGAACAAAATATTAAAGGTGGTTACTCATATTTTTGTGGCCAGTTTAAATGTTTTTTAATTAGAGATTTTTTTAGTTTATGACATTTTTTATTTTAAAAGCTATTTTTCTCAGAATAATATATATAAAATATTTTAAAACTAGAACATTGATATCTCAGAAATTACTAACTCTTTTTCTTTGAAATTTTCACAGTTTGTTCATTGATATTGTAGAAAGGGCTGGTAGTAGAATAATCAAAAAATATTTTTTATTTTGACCAGAATTTAAAATTTTACATACCCCACGGACCATTTTTTATGAATTTTACAGGTTAATATTTGCCATTTTATATTGGCTTTGTATTTTCAAAAAATTCTACTAAGGGCCCTCCACCAACCATTCAGCTATATGTTTGTAAAATTTAAAGTTTTTATCTCAAATATTACTCAAGTTATTTATGTTCTTGTGAATGCATGTTTTTTGCTCTTTTTTGCCGACTCAACATTTTTTTGTGACAAATAAATAAAAAAATGATGTTTTTTATATTTAGTTTTTTAACTACTGTCGAAAAATGTTTATCATTTTAAGAAAAATATCAGATTTTGAAAAATAAAAAATGTAGGGTAGTACCACCTTAAATATTCTTGATACATCCACATTGTTTTATTCCCTGTTTTAATTATTAGTACTGTTTACTTTAATTTTATTATTTACATATTATTATTTTAGCTGTGTTATTTTTTTGACCCATACACCAAATAATCATTGTCGAAATTAAATTAATTTTCTAATTTTTATTTTAATAACTTTAATTTTATTTTAGAACCCATATGTTAGCAGAGTTGTTAGTCCTTGGCAGTGGCGGATTAAGACTTCTTGGGGCCCGGGGCTATTTTTGTTTTTGGAGGCCTTTTTATGGGCCTAAAAATGACTATAAAAAAAATATATATATATATATTTATATATATTTTAAATATATATATATATATATATATATATATATATATATATATATATATATATATATATATATATATATATATATATATATATATATATATAATATATATATATATATATATATATATATATATATGTATGTATTTATTTTTTAGGTTGTAAGTTTTAGAGTTTTCTGCATTTACACATATAGGGTAGATTAGGGTAGTATGAGTACCTAGGTAATACTCTTAAACTATCTGCATAAATTATATCTGAACCAATCTCTAAAATGGTTAATAACTCATTTAGAAAAGGAATTTTTCCTGACGTATTTAAGATTTCTAACATTATTCCAATTCACAAAAATGGGTCAAGTTTGAACCATCTAATTACAGACCTATTTCTTTGTTATCTAACATCAGAAAAATATTTGAAAAAAAAATACACAAAAGACTGTACAACTTTTTTGATACCTTTAACTGCTTTGATAAATTACAATACGGATTTACAATACGTAACTATTCTACTACGTATGCACTAATTGATTTTACAGAAACTTTACGAAATGCCTTTGATAAAAATAAGTTTGTTTGTGGTGTTTTCCTCAATCTGCAAAAAGCATTCGACACAGTTAATCGCCATTTTCTTCTTGCCAAATTACAATACTATGGTGTACGTGGAATTCCACTTAAATGGTTTAAATCCTACTTAAATAATAGACAACAATAAGTTAAGGAAACATCTTCATCAACCAAAACTATAATTTTGGGAGTCCCTCAATGGTCAATATGAGCTTTTCCTTGTATACATCAAGGAACTAAATGCCTGCATTGATAACATTTTAACATACCATTTTGCCGATGACACTAACCTGTTAATTGTTGAAGATTCGCTTGGAAAAATGCAGTTAAAAACTAATGAGGCCATATTTTCGTTTCTAATTGGCTTAGAGCAAACAAAATTTCACTAAACGCTACAAAAACTATAATAGTTGTCTTTAAATCCAAAAAAACTAAAAGCCCAAAAAACAAGGAACAATGCACTTTCAACATTAATGGAAAAATATTAACTTTGTCAAAAACTTTGAAGAACCTTGGAGTTTGGCTGGATAAGAGTCGTTCTTTTAAGTATCATCAAACTTACTTACAGACTAAGCTATATCGATCATTTGGAATGTTAGCCAAGATCAGACATTTTGTAAATTTTGAAACACTTATGAGTATTTATCATGCCATATTTTGATCGCACCTTAGGTATGCGTTTCAGATTTGGGGTAAAAAAAAAAGTCCCTTAAATCAACTAGTTTCACTTCAAAACAAAGCCCTTAAAATTATTCACTTTCAAAATTACCTATTTGACAATGTTTCTCTGCTGTATTAATTATCAAAAATCCTTAGGTTGAACGACAATATCACTTTTTTAAATTGTTTATTTGTATGGTATTATCTTCAAGATAAACTTCCGATTTCCTTCAAGAACTTTTTTCTTCAAATATGTAACAAACATTCTCACTTCCTAAGATCCTCTTCATGATACAATATCTTTGTAGAACATACTAGGACAATAAAATTTGGCAGCGAATCAATTTAACATCAGTGCACCAATGCTTGGAACAATCTCCCTCATTCTTTTAAAACTGAAAACTCAATTTCTCGATAAATTTTTCTCAATAGATTAAAAAAACACTATTTGGATAACTACTTGAATAATAACATCAATAAAAGCACTTTTAATAGTTTTATTAAAAAATACTCTCTCTTGTATATATTTTTTATTTTACACTGTTTTTTTTAAGAATCTTTACATTTATGTACAGCTTTTTTGTCGTCCTTGTACAATAATTGAATGTGTATGCGCGTATGCATGTGTGGGTATATGTATAGGTATGTGAATGTTTATGTATGTATTTGAATAAGTATTTATGTATATGTGTATGTATATATATATATATATATATATATATATATATATATATATATATATATATATATATATATATATATATATATATATATATATATATATATACATATATATATGTATATATATATATATATATATATATATATATATATATATATATATATATATATATATATATATATATATATATATATATATATATATATATATATATATATATATATATATAGGGGAGAGCGGGGTTGGTTGTCACACTTTTTACATTTTAGGCTGCTTAGCTTTTAATTTTCATCCAATCAATGCCAAACTTTGCACAAAGCTAGTTTAACTATTTCCAGTAACTATTATAATATTTTTATGACATTGAGTGAAATATTTATTGCTGTAAAATCATTTTTCAAAGACCACTTCTGTGTGACAACTAGCCCCGCTCACGGGGTAGGTTGTCACATGGTGCGGGGTTGATTGTCACATTTGGATTTTGACAAGTTTAGATAAGAATTTAATGTAAAACGAGTACAAATTAATTTCGTTTATGTTTTACTAAGAAAAATAAAAATAAAATACTATAAACTGAAATATATATACTTTAAATATAAAACAATTAACAAATTTAGTTTATCACTATAAATGTTTTTAGGTTTGGTTTTTTAAAAATTATTGGATAAAGAACACAATTCACAAATAAACTGTTGTAAGCCTGGTGTGCATTCTTCATGAGCCCATTTTTGGCAAACCTGACATTGAATCCACTGTTCTCTTGATCGGCTGTTGGAAAATGATTCAAAACAATAGATGCACAGATACTTTTCATCTTCAGATGAATTTAAGACTATAGAAGGTTTTTTCGTAGCAAGATTTGATTTTATTAATTCTTTTTTACTTCTATTAGTAAATTTTTTTTATTAGTTTTCTTCTTTTTATAATTAGCAAGCCATGCTTTGACAAGTGTGTTAGTAAGAGTCATAGTTGACCGCTTTTTCCTACCTCTTTTTGATGCTAACCTCGGGCCTGCTTTAGGCAGAGGCCTATTACTCTCAGGTGGTATGATTGAATTGTTAAAACCTAATGTTGTGATTGGGTTCTGATTAGAGGTTTTATTTGATACAACTGGATCTTCTATTGTTATGTCTACCTGATTATCTGGTATCTGAATAGATTCTTTAAATCTTTTATTTGATGGTTCTGGTTGCATTGAATAAGATTCACAGTCTTTTTTATTTGAATCAGCCTGTGAACAAGGTGGGTCAGGGCAATCAGTTACATAGTTAGGACGGTAATCATTTTCAGTAAACACATCAGGATTTAACGGGTAAATACCTGTTGCAGAAAAACCACTTAAAATATTGTGGGGAGATACAGCCTTTGGAAATTTTTTATTTTTTTTTTATTTTTTACTTTATCTCCTCAAGGCCGAGAAGGCCACTACAGACGAGGAGGCTACTTATTTTGTGGCTATAACCCTCTCTCAACTCTATAACTCCGAAACACGAACCTTGACGAACAAGGCCGCTGCGCAGAGAAACGAGTTGAGCGCGGTACTACCAGGGACGTGGTGGGGATCGAACTCGGAACCACTCGTTTATGAAGCGAGCGCTCATGCAATGAGTGTTGTAAAAATGCAATGTTTACTATTTTTGGAATATCATATATTGTAACAGTTTTTCCAGGATTCATTACTAACCATGATGTCATAGCAGTATTTATGTAGTTTTTGAGAGGGCTGCAACTTATGTGTGCAATGTGGTGGGAAGGTAAGCATTACTATTCCATTATTTTTTGCCAAATCTAATCCTTCAATACTAAGATGAGTTTCGTGATTGTCAAGCAACAATAAACAAGGCTTTTCTTTAGTACATTTTGTATTGCAAACAAAATGTTTTAGATATTTTACAAAGTTTTCTTCTTTCATCCAACCACTTGGATTTGCATCTCCTGCACTTACTGTTGGTGCACTGATTAGGAAATGATCTTTTAAGTTTTTACGAGGAAAAATAAAAAAGGGTGGAATACTGTTTCCAATAGCATTTATTGTGCATGCTAATGTTACAAGAGTTACTCTTTCAGCTGACGTGATGGCTCCTACTTGTTTTAATCCTTTTTTTGCAATAACCTTTTTAGGTTACTGTACAGTAGTTACAGCAGTTTCGTCCATGTTCCAAATGTCATTTGGTGAGAACGAGTATTTTTGCATACAGTGCTGCAAATTGCTAAAAAATGATGCAACATTCTGCTTATTGAAACTTGTCGCTCGACTTAAACTAGTAGCTTCAGGTTGCCTAATGGAAATATTTGAATGGCGCTTTATAAATCCTGTAAACCAATCCTTACCAGCTTGTTCCTTTACAACCCAAGAATTGGGAACCTTCATATTATTTTTAATTGCTAGCTGGAAAGCAAGCTTTTTTACTTCGGTAGGAGTTAAACCAAAGTATATATCTCCTGCTCGCAACAGGTAGGTGACCAGTTCTTTTTCTGGCAATATCAATCGACTTTTGTATCATTCAGGGAGGTGGGGTTTTCAATTTTGTCAATTAGATCTGCTATAGAACCATGTGATGGGTTAGTAATAATTTTTTTACAATAACGTGCTAATGTTCTGTAATTAATGCCATGGTTTTTTGCTGCTGATCTAATAGAAATGTTATTAATCTTTACATCTTTAACAGCACACATTATGACATCTCCAGAAGTATAACCTCTATTAGTTTTTCTTTTAAAATTTCGTACCATGTTTATTACTAAGCAAATAAAAATATTTGCAAATAATGTAAACAAAACATTAATATATATATATATATATATATATATATATATATATATATATATATATATATATATATATATATATATATATATATATATATATATATATATATATATATATATATATATTAATGTTTTGTTTACATTATTTGCAAATATTTTTATTTGCTTAGTAATAAACATATACATATATATATATATATATATATATATATATATATATATATATATATATATATATATATATATATATATATATATATATATATATATATATATATATATATATGTTTATTACTAAGCAAATAAAAATATTTGCAAATAATGTAAACAAAACATTAATATATATATATATATATATATATATATATATATATATATATATATATATATATATATATATATATATATATATATATATATATATATATATATATATATATATATATATATATATATATATATATATATATATAGGTACGTGAGTAAAAATTTCAAATTGTTTAAATATTCTACTGTTATATATCATTAGAAAAAGGACCAATACAGTATTTTAAAGGTGAAAAAATTATCAAAAACGAACAATTGGTTTAAAAGTTATGACAGTTTAAGTACCGATTTTTCGATATATGGAATTGTTGAAGAAACTGTGGTCAAAATTATGTTTTTCTTCACTTAAATTGTCATAACTTTATTAATTCTAATCAAAATACAAATATTTTGGTGTCAAAAGATAGGTATAAGAGTGGGCTACAAATTTTTGTTAAACTCTAACCACCGGGTGTATTGGATGGACAGAGGGGGCACCAAACCATCACCTTACCCGTATGAAACTAAACATTTGTTTCACAAAAAAAGTCTTTTTTCAACACATAAGTATTTTAAATATACAAAAACATTGTTATAAATTTATATTTAACCACCAGAGTATATGAGAGGCGTATGTTAACGTTGGAGGTGGGTGTGGTGGTGATGGTTTGATACACCCTAGTATCATATAAGACTTGTTTTCATAAATATTTTTATCTTTACTAAAATTAATTCAATTAGTATACAATATAAAATTATGTTCTACAAGAATTTACGTGGTGTTACTATTACGAATTTAAGTCGTGTTTACATCGATGTATGGGAGGGGAGAATAACCCCCCTCCCCAACCTAAAAAAAAAATTAAAAAAAATTAAAATGACACAACTACTGTTTCCTAAAGTCCCAAAACAAAGTTTTTTTCTGTATAAAAAAGGTTCTATAAATTAATACTGGACAACCACCAAACATTGAAGGTAAGTGTAAAACTCATGTTAAATGTGTTGACCATGTTTTAACCACCCTAATATCGCAAAAAAATTTTAATTATGAAATATTTGATTGGTTATTTAAAGAACAACAACAAAGAAGTAAAAAATATATCTTACCCGGTAAAAGTTACATCAGTGTTGCATCCATTCTCAAAAGAGAGGGGCTAACCCCCCCTCCTTTCCCCAAATTAATCAAAAAAGCAATTTTGATTAATTGGAGAATTTTTGGTTAAAATATTCTTATTCAGAGTGACTTTTATTATCAGTCAATAGTGGTAAAAAGGTAATCAAAACAAGGTATTTACCAACCTTTATAAATCTTCAAATCTTTCATATAGTGCTTGATACTAGTTTGGTTAACAAAAAGTTAGGCTGTTTCAAACTAAAAACCAAAAAAAATGTTATTAACACTAAATAATGTTTTATTATTTTAATGATGCTTTATTTCATAAAGTTTTTTCTTGGCTTTTAGTGAATGATTACAATGATAAACTATACTAATGAAATTATTTTTAACAATAGACACCACGTGAAGATAAGCCAGAGTCGCCTATCAAAAATACATAGCAAGTTACAACACTTGCAGTACTTTTGTTTAGCAAGTCACAACACTTGCAGTACTATTTTTAGCAAGTCACAGCACTTTGCAGTACTTTTTTTTAGCAAGTCACAACACTAGCAGTACTTTTTTTTTTCAACAAGTCACAGCAGTTTTTTAATCTATAAATTTTAAATTTATATATTTGCAGTGTTTTAACAAAATAATATCAGTCAACTTTCTGGAAACAATATCTGCAACAAGCTGAAACTTTTTCATGCAATGTTCTACAGCTTTGATATCCATTTTATTAACCAACCTTTAATAATTTTTAAATCTTTCAAATAGCGTTTTGGCTGTTTCAAACTAAAAAACAAATAAAATGTTATTAAAAAGAAATAATAATGGTTTGTTTATTTTTTATCTCATATAGTTTTGTCTTGGCTTTTAATGAATGATTACAATAATAAATTTCTTTTAGCTAGTCACAACACTGGTAGTATTTTTCAGCAATTCATTTGTAGTACTTTTTTAGCTTAAATTTCAAACTTGTACTTTCACAGTGTTTTATTAATATAATATAAAATTAATAAAATTGTAACTCTTCTGAAATAACATCAACAAGCTGGATCTTTTTCATGGAATGGTCAACAGCTTCCATATATGTTTCATCATCTTTCCAGTAAGAAATAGTGCAAACTAAGTCATTTTTTTAACTAAATACTTTATCTACTCTGCCATTATACAAAACAGGCTTGGATGTTTAGGATCATATCATTTATGATATGATCCTAAACATCCAAGATTTCTTTTTTATCGATTTTTTTGAACTTGGATGCCTGTCTTTGATAAATATTGGCTCTATTTTTAGCCTGATGCAATCGATTGCTAACTCTATTTATACGCGCTACATGAACTGAGCATTTAACAAACTTATCTCTCAAATTAATAATATAGAAACCTTACCAGCTGCAACAGATGACAAGGATATTAAAGATTAAATAATACAATGACACAAAAGATTAAATGGTACATGTAAATATTACATATTAAATATACATATATAGTACATATTAAATATACAATAACATAGTACATATTAAATAGTACAATACTGCATAATACACAAAATCAGACTATATTTCTCAATACATACACATAAAAATACACATTAATCTCTTACCAATTAATGAAGTAAGTGTTACTAAAGAATTAAAAAGAAATAAGTAATAACAATAGTAATATAATGTTTACTAAAATAAACTTAACTTCAAGTTACAATTTTTGTTACAACATCTTTAGCTAGTGTGTATCAATAAATTAAACACCTTGAGCTTGTGTATCAATTAAGTAGTAATCTTTAGTTAGCATGCATCATTAAACTATACCATTGAAATTATTAAAATTTACTAAAATTACAAATCTGCTGTCTAAATTCACCTAAAAGCCAACTTTAAATTACTTACCTTATTATAAGATTAAGTTATAACACTAACATTACAAAAAAAAAAGTTTAAATGACTAAATAACTAAAATATTTTAAACTTTATTTACTAATAGTTTGTTCTGAATTGTCTATAGAAAAAAAATAACAATGATTCAATAAAAAGCATGAAACAATCAGGAATATATTAATAAACAACTGTAAAAAAACTTCGTGGATGCACAAAAATCTGCACAAAAAACATAGCATAATAAAGATATATAATTGAATATTGAGAGTAAAAGACTAAATCTTTTTTAGAAAAAGATGCATGATACAATAAGTAGTAGCATATTGCAATAGTTATTGGAGAGACTTACAATGTAAGATAAAATATGTTATAATATTACTAATATGTCAGTTACATTTTTAAAAAATTCAACTTTAAAGTAAGGAAACATTAAAATTCATTTAATAATAACTTTACATTGAAGGCAAATAATTTTTTTAAAATCTTAATAAATAGGAAACAATATTAAAAACTTTTATAAAAATATCTTTACTTTCCATTTTATTTAATCTAAAAAAAAAAATGAAAATTTTATTTAATCAAAATCAAATATAAACAATGTTTATTCAACCCCTCTGTCTCCCGCAAACACTTCAGCAAAATGAAAATTAGGTACCAAAAGTGCGACAAAAAATAGACACCCTGCTACAACTTTTATTTCAATGAAATTTTCCAGGTGCATAGATAAATGAAAAACTTAAAAAAAAAAGAATAGTATAGAAAAAAAAATGAGCATATCTTCGACATTAATTTAATGCCCAAAGTACAACAAAGTTTTAGACATAAAAAAAC